AGGAATGCCAACTGGAAGAAAACTGTTATTTTTCTGAATTATTTACCTCAAGAACTAGCCAAAGCTGATCTCCATTTTTCACATCTTTCTTATAGTACATGCCATAGAATTTTACTACATTGGGATGATCAGAGAGAGCTTTCAAAATGTTGTATTCAGCTTCAATTTCTTCATCAATATCCTAGTGTCACAAACAAGAAATACACAGTGATTAATAAATACATAATGATGGCCATTTAAAAAACAAAACAACAGTTTTCTGGCTATTCAAACATAGTTTAAAACAACGCAAAAGTATAAAACAAAGAGAACATGAATGAAGCATTCACAGGACTACAAAGCTTGGTTCTGTCTACTTATTACAAAACAGTCATCTGAATTTTTACTTGGTCTTTATCAATTTCAACTAACAAGCACACCAGGTCTGGCAGAGCAGCCCTCAGGAGAATGGAGAAGGAGCATTTCAAAGTAAAGCCAGTGCAATCCCACAAGTAGGTATTTACAGACTAGTGAGTTTTGGGGGGAGATTGCAGATGCTTTGGGAAGTCACATGTTACTTTGTTAGTCTCAAGGGTATCCTCAGCTAGATAGGGTGCAGCTGGAATTATCTCTCTGTCCCTCTGTGCACAAACAAGTATGACTGCAGCCACATCTTACTCATTTATCATCCCACTTCCTGGGAATAGTAACCCCAAGACAATCTGGAAATTTTTGAATGTTTTTTGTTTGTTTTGTTTTTTTTTTTAATCACAGAAAATGGCAACACCCATGAGCTCTCCAGCTTCTCTTACTGAGCTGTTAGAGTTGTGCCTTTTTGTCAGCCTTTCATTATAGACCTCAGATTTCATACACAGTGAAGTAAATCCATTTGGAGGTGAGAGATGAGGACAAGTTTTGCTTACTAATGTACTAGAAGCTGTGCAAGCCATTTCAGACCAACCACCGATGCTAGCAACAGTGGCCACAGGATAACTACAGTAATCCCTTCCACTTATGCACTGGAACTGCTTATTGATGGACACTACCAGACTGTGTTTCAATCACGCTGAGAAAACATTCAATCCATCCCAGCCACAGGTAGAGGCAGAATAGCTGAAGTAATTTCCCTTCATAGTTTAGATCTCAAAAAATTGTTAACACACTTGTTTCCAGATTTAAAACATTTTTAATAGAATTTGCTATTTACACCCACCCAAAAGAGAAACAGAGCCATGAAAAATCACTTCTAGAGGAAGGCTACCTATGAACTCTAATATGCGTATGAATGGGTTTCACATCAATGAAAGCCACCTACTCCATGACAAAACTTGTCTCACCACTGCCAAACAGAAGTGACCATGATAGAGAAAAGGGATGCTTTGCAGTCCCAATGAATGGCACTCCTCATTTTTTTCATCACCAAAGGCATCAGACCCTAAGAGGACTCTGCTCACTTGTTTCTTATAGAGGTCTCTCCAATGCTAAATTCAATTCAATTTCCTCATATTAGACTTTTTCTGTTTCTTGACTGGTGTCAAAGAACTTTGTCTGTCACCAATATCTTCAGGACTTGGGCTGCTAAACTTTGATATTGAGATTAAAAGAATAAGTCTTCTCACAAGGAGGAACTTAAAGAATTTTTTTTTACTTGAGCAGCCAAAGCCAGCAGAAATTTTCCTTTTTCAAAAAGAAGGAGGAAATAGATATAAGTTAATTTTCCCCTAAACAAAACAGAGGATACTGCCAATTTAAAAAAACCAAACAAACAACAAAACAAAAAAAACACAACACAACCCCCCCCCCCCAAACAAACAAACCCACACACACAAAAAAAGGGGGGGAACCAAAGAAGAAAGAAAGAATAAGATACTGAAGGTGGCAGAGGAAGGAAAGAAAGGAGTGGAAGATAAGGGGGGTTGAAGAGAGAGAACATATCTGGTAAAAAACAAAAGGGGAGATCAAAAAGAAGAAAAAAAAAGAAAAGAAAAAAAAGAACAGGAAAAAACCCCACACCAAAACAATTAAGAACCGAAAGCCAAAAAACTACACAGAAAACATACAATAGCCTGGCTGTCTTGGGGAAACTGGAAGAAAATTAGCTCACTGCTCTACTGTAATTTAATAGATGTTTGTTTCCTGAGGGGTACTCAGATTTTACAAGATTTTTAGTATTAGGAGAAGGAATGAAAAGAGAGAGAACAAAATTAATAGAACATTAATCCTGTGCATACTAGAAAGAAAAATCTTCCTCTGCATTTTATCAAGGAAGAGAACTTTAAATATTTGGTTTAATTTAACATATTTACCTTCATAAAACATAGCCAAAGGGAATACCTCTTTTAGAAACAGTAGAGGAAATATTTTCATGTGAAGTTAGACATAAGGCAATTTGACTAAGAGCCCTAAAGTACAATGGTATTTATTTATAGCCCTGAGAGGACTAAGAGCATTCTCAGTTTCATCTTCATGTATTCTCATTTCAACACTTTGCCTTTCCTGTTTCAGTTTCAAAAATCCGAGATGTTATTCAACATAGAGAAAAGCTCTAAAGGATTAAACACTAAATGCTTATTTCAGTCTCACATCACCCATGATAAAGCAGTTTCCCATTTTAATTTGGAAATACCAATTAAACCAATTGATATAAAACCACATTTCTTCTGCCCTTTTTTCAGTCTACCTCTCACGTGACACAATTCTGAAACCATCTTCACACAAAAAAAACCTGTAAAATTTAAAGAAAACACAGAAAGTACTTTTTTTCTTCATTGCAATGGCTCCCTCTGCAGCCATTAATAATACTTTCAGTTTAAACAAGAAGAACTATTTTATTCCTTTCACCCTATTTCTAATATAGGATTGCCATTTTAAAGCTAACATGAAGGTACAGCAGCTACTCCAGACCTCTGTGAATAGGAAGGGGGAAAGAAGAATAATATTCTTAAAATATAGTAAGTTAAAAAACTTGAGTCTTGCATTTTGATATTGACTGCATTACTGACTTCCATCTTTGGAATAATTACCCAAATAATGAGTCTCTTTTCATTAGCTATACCTCCTTCTCTTCTGCAATTTCTTATATCACATCTTTATTCATTGTATTTCTTCTGGATTCTTCATATTCTACTCTTATTTCCTACTCAGTCTACTTCTTTTTTCCCCTATTATCACATTTACTTCCTCTTCTTTCTTCCTGTCTTCATCATTGACCCTTTTCTTACAACACTTCAACATGGAAAGTCTTCCCCACGGCCTCCAGTAATTCCTGCCTGTAGCCAGATGCCATTTAAAAATCACTCTCAGACATTTGTGAAATAGATGAAAGCTGAAGCATTTCAGGCCATTGAGGCATTTGGGGAAACACCAACTGCAAGAAAGTCCTGGCTTTTCATTGTAAGCAGGAGAATCTTGTTTACAGATCGACAGAGTCGAATGCGTTTGAATTCATCAAGATCTTTATCACCTGGCTTGGAACCATGTCTACTTTGGGAGAGGTAGGTGGTACTGAATTCAGATGAGTCTTGTTGCTTTAAAAGCATGCTGAAATTAAAAGCAGCTCAGCTAGAGACAGCAAAGGTAAGGTGAGATGCTATGCTTTCACAAACACATTTCATGGATTTATGGGCCATGGGTTCATAATCTGACCATAACTTGTGTGATACACAGAGGCAGACAGAGCCCTGTGTGGCTGTGTAGCTCCAGACCAGCAGCCTTTCACATGGCACAACTGGCTCTTCCTTTCCCCCTCTGAGGTCATGCAATCGGGTGCCTCACAGCCCGATACTGGGAGTGCAGAAGATAAGCTCGAAGAGGCCACTTCAAACACGAACAGCTCCTGGTCCATGTTACTGTTACCCAGAAAAATCCCATGCCACATGCAGCACCACTGAATTTAATGGGATATGCCTCTACAAACCAGACTAATGCTCTTTCCTACTCTGAGCATTAATCTGACAACCAACAAATACCAGTTATTGAGAACAAAAACATACTTTACAACATAATTGGACCTCTCAGTCACTTGGTACTTTGAGTGTAGGAGCTACTGCCTTTGTATTTTCTATTTGAAAAGATGGATCCCTCTGTGATATCTGTTTTGGCACATTGTGAAAATGCAGAAGTAACAATAACAATAAAGTATGCTATTTTATCTTTACAGTTTCACTCATGGCATATAACTCAGCTGAAAGCATGTACTTAAAATATACGTCTGAATGTTATCTAAAGCACTTCCAAATACATAACTTTCTTACTGGCTAGTACGTAAAAAAACCAAACCAAACCAAACGAACAGCAGAAAACAGAAGCTAGGACTCATGGTACTGAAAAGGAAAATAATCAGCTCTGCAGCTAAAAGTAAGAAATAAACAACAGTATAGCAAAAGAAACACAAATTTTAGGTATACTTCTAACTTCTATCATATGCAACCACTTCCAGAATCACTTGTGATATGAAAAATAAATTGATAGCTAGCCTGATACATCACAGATTTAAGCAGTTTATCTCCCTATCACATCTAATGCAAATGATCTACCAAAATTAAAAGAAAAAAAGACTACATAAATTCACTTACAATTAAATAAGTACAAAGCAAATAATTTAAATAGCTTACGTGAACAGGATCCAAAATTTTGACTGCTGCTTTGCTGCCATTTTTCTTATTTAATACCTTGAAAACTTTTCCGTATGTTCCTTTTCCAATGGTTTCAATTATTTCCCAGGTATCTGAAGGATCAGGAAAGCTATCAAATATTATTGTTTTTCCAGTCAATGGAAGCATCTCAACTGATGGTTCCTAAGAAAAAAAGATTTCAGTATTCACTCAACAAAAGGTTAACAGCACTTGTAAATGGTCTCAAACACTAGAAATGGTTTTGCATGTAGTGTGTACATGAACTGAAAGCACAATGAACAAGAAATGCTTAATGACAAGCATGTGCAGTCAACATCATATCAAATAAAGGGAAGTTCAAATAATAATTTGAAGTAATTTCAGTCTTGGGTGAAGTCAGCAGCTGCCTTCCCATGCACTTCAATGAAACTATAATGTGACTCTGGGGCAGGGGAATGGGAGTTAAGTTCATAAAATCCAAAAGAATTTGGTTTAATTACCAAGAATCAGGCAAACAGGGGAAAAAAAAACACCACCACAAAACGTGTTCAAGAGTAGCAGTAGGTTGATTCAAAGCTTTATAGCAAACAGTCAGTTTTCTAATCCTATTCTGATTTGAATTTTTAGATAGACCTCGCAAGGCCAAACAGATCCAAGTGGCAGATCTTTTCACAATATTACGGTCTTCCAACGACCAAGCATTCCTAGTCACAGAAAACATGTTTATTTGTGTACATTCATTAATAACTATTTTACATACTGTAAAGGAAACACCTTTTACAATGATGCAATTGTATCCATCACTGACCAGGTTACACCCATGGGCTGATCAATGATAGATACATTTCACTTATACATGCCTCCAGCAGCTACAGTGGTAAAAACAAAGCACAGTGCCCCCAAAAAACATTAAAAAATAAACCCCACATTTACCCACTGTTAAGAACTGCCAAACGATCAGCAGAAATATGTTTAAAATCACACTTCTATGTTTTTAATTGTAGAGTCAAGACTGAAAAAGAGAAAAGGCAGGGAAGAGGACAGACTCAAGCCCTTACTAAGTAAGCAAGCAACAAAGAAATGAGCTAGCTACTGAAAGCTTAAGTCCTTCCTGAGTGCAATATGTACCAAATAAGCCAGGTTTGGAGAGTCATTTTCACATACCCATTAAAAAATAATAATAAAAAAATCAATAAATTATTCTTGGACATTTTTATATCAACAGCACAAATCTACACAAAGCATTTTCTATTACATTACTTGAGTGACAGAAATTGCACCGTGATACCATACTACTTGTTTTGGTAATAAAGACAATAGCTTCAGTTTCACTTTCATCCAAGGCTTTCAGCATACTAACCATATTTTCTTTATTAATCTGCTTATTCCTATAACTATGCCTATCCGACCATATGTGCAGCATATATATCCAAAGCATACAGCACCTAAAACAACTAGCAGCAACTGCAATGGCCTACTGCACAAACAGACGTTGTACCAGCTCTTCCAGTTATCTGATATACACACTGGCACATCACGTGTGTTCAGACTAATTTTCTACTGAATAATACAAGCTCACCTGGGGAACAAAGGGCTCAGGATTCCTCCCATCATTCTACTATTGGTTGATTAGCTCCCAAGGTCTGCAACCAGTATTGGCCCACCACCTCCCTCCAGCCCTTCCCCTGGGATTTAAAAGACACAAATCCTCCAGGACATTTGACTGCAGTCTCTCCCTAAGGCATTAGTCTTTTCCTAGGCATCCTCATGCTTAGTATTTATCCACACCTTGGGAGCTTCACTACTTCCAGGCAAAGCCAACCATCTCTTCCCCAGAAAATGAAGACAAATGAGTTCCAACATTTTTTTTGGAACTTTGTTTTTCTTTTGCCTACAAACTAGTGCTCAAATACAATCACTCTGGGTTTTTTTAAAATCACTTTATATGTAATTATCTGTACAGATATGTAAGTACCCTCTACATGTATGTATAATTACATTGAAATGATATGTAATTAGCTTATAGCTGGGATGACCAAAAATAATAAGCAAATTGGGAATGATAAAGGGATTAGGATCCCTTGATTTGAGGGACTCAACAATGATGGAATTTTTAAATTTCTCTGTCTAAGCTTTAATTTTTAGAATTGAGGTTAATGACTTGTTTAAAATTTTACTGGATACTCAAACCATAACTACTGATTTTTTGTGAGGAAAAAGTAAGACAGTTATCAATGGGCACCTTCATAAGAATGGAGATGTCCAAATCTTATATGAGCCTGGCTACATGCAAACTATCTTCTATAGAATATGTAGTTTTCCATCAAAATCTAGGGCCTACTATGTCCCACACTGCGAAAGTATACAGTAAGATGCTCTGACCCAGGGAGCTTACAGTAGGAGATATGCTGAAGTTGGAAGA